GGAACGGCGCGGCAAACTGGTAGGACGAAGGGCTGCAGTTCTCAGGGCGGGAGGCAGTCTTCTGAGAAGAAGAGAGGGCTGCAGGAGGAGAGACATGAGGCCGTCGGACGGTATCTGTAGGCCGTTTGGGAGCCCGCAGACTGACACGCATTCATTCGCTTGTAAGAAAACTCTCCTTAGGTAAGGCGGAGTGCTTTAGGCAAGTACACCTTCCTCCTGGGTACCTCCAGCGCACCATTTAGTGGGGGCTAGGGCGCTGTGCAGCCACTGAGGACGCGCCTGCCCCCAGTGCTGACACGCCTAACACGCCTGGACATGCTGCTTTGAGGAGGAGCACGTGTGGCCCGCCGCCATATGACGACACATCGCGAGCAGGCGAGGGTGAGACGGGCATCAGGATTCAACAGTCCGGAGGGGAACAGCGATGGGCTTCACTGGAGCGTCCAGAGCAGTTCGGGAGTTGGCAGAGCTTCGAGTCTATGTACTAAAGTATACGCCACCCCAACGTATCTGCCTAACACCAACACGTCGCGCCATCAATTGTGCGGTGAGGGAGAGGGCCTACTCGTAACTGATAGCCATCTTGGGGGCCGAGACGCCTGGACAAAGTGACTGGCGGTTCGGGTACCTTTGTCATGAGAACGACAACACAAGTGAGGGGTAGCTAGTGGGGAGCTTTGATCATGGCGGGGTTCAGGGTTCAGGATTCAAGACCGGGCATTTGCCCAGTGCGAGCAGCTTCGTGAAGCTGCAATGTGTGTTTGGCCTCTTCTTCTTCTGTTCTTGGCTTCTATACCTGGAGCAGTCAGTGTCCACTACCTGCTCTTGCCTGTTTACCTCGAGATCATGCCCAATCGTCGCTATAGACATATTTCGTAGCCCCTCATTTCTATACTTGGAGCGGACTTGCTCGGGCTTACTAGCTCCTTATTAAACTTTGGCTTCCCGTATTCTAGATTAGATCCTCCCAGTTTTTCTCAAGGCGGTGGTTAGAATAAGCGTATCAATGTTCAACCTGGCTTTTCCATTTTATCGTTTTTGTTTTCTTTTTCATTCTTCCCTTTGCACTTCTCTGTTGTCAAGGTTCATAGCACCGACTTAGGCTAACACATCCAGAAGAAAACTGGGCACGTAAGACGGAGATACGCACAGTATAAAGACTCAAACCAACCAAGTGCCTCCCTGCAGTAAAAGAGCTGTGTTCCCTTGGAAATCTCTAGCTCGTTTATAACTGGTTTTTATCATGCGGCTGCCCAGATGTGATATGGGACCTTCAGTCAAATCTTCCACTTAAGTCAGTAACTAAGTCAATAGTCACCACTCAACATCTACGAAACCTCTTGATGCCATCAGCATATCCGCATAAGTTCCCGCCAGGCTCTAGATTGTGCGCTCCTGAACTCCTTTCTCTAATCTTACAATAGGCCAAAATCCAGACAATATGCAGTACGGGCAAGACCAGCAATTGTTCTTGGGTAATGAGCCAGGACCCACTAAGAGGTATTGGATGAATCGGTTAGCAAACAAAGTGCATACTTAGTGCGCTAGATGGCCATCCATATAATGCATGCAGTTAAATATCTGCTGTAAGTCTAATTCTATGCCATTGAATAAGCCTTCCAACTATCAATTGTATGAACCATTGGATTAGACATGATATCGACCATTAATCAGCCCTTGTGCCCGTGTAGCTTACGCGATATCTCTTCTTAAAAGTAACGAGCGAGTCCTTTTCGTTAGCATATATTACATGTAAGTGCTCGTGTGCTCGTCTCCCAACTCAATCTGCTATATGAAATGGCGGGAAAGGGGGGGATTTAGTACACAAAACTACCAAAAAACGCATACTACACCATCTCGACACAACTATAGAAAAAAATGCAGTTATGCGGTCCTTCAATTTGAAAAGCATGCTCAAGCTACATTAATATTCCCAGACGTACGGACGGAAACATCTCGATTGCAATGAGAAGCCTAATTAAACTATTAAGTTTCCTTCCATTAATTCTGCATATTATCAGTAATTGGACAATCCCAGCCATTTATACACAAGTGTACATCATAACCAGTTTGGAGAAAAAAAGCCGAAGGGAATTAGAAAGAGGTTACTTGCAGTAATGAAACCCGTCACAACCCCGGAAACTACCCTGGGGCTGCAGCTTGCATGGTTCTGTCCAAATTCGATCAGCCTAGTGCAGGTACTCTCTATCATGTGGCCGTGCTCAAGATTACAAATGAATATAGGCAATACTCGGCATGAAGAATTACCGATGACTGTCTCCGAGGCTGTTGAATGTAACTACAACCGGCACATTCCCTATAACACTCAACGTCTGCCGATGCGCTGGCCAGGGCATACCCGCCACACCCTACTGATGTTTCACTACATACAAGTATGGACGAAAATTTCAAGGGGAAAATGCAGGTCTGACCAGAGGAAGATATGAAGCCGGCCGGGAGCCGCCGACAAGTTGCCACGGTCTGCCGTCCCAAACTGATCCATCACATAACGCGGTGTCACGCGACAATGAAAATGTGTACATCCTGTATAAATCACGAAATTCCATGGCATTCTATCACCTCTACGAGCTTAAGCGAGAAGTTCCTATCATACCACCTAGAAAGTAAAAGGCCTAGGATACTGGACACCTCCCGTGAGCAGCTGCCGGAAGATGGAATGAAGCACCTAACCTAGACCATGCAGTGCAGAGAATGAGGCACGATGGTAGGTTGGGTTGCGGAGGATGAGGGGAAAATGATACAGTGAGTTGCACTGGATGCACCTAGCTCAGTCTTATCGCAGACGTATCCTTGTGTCGGATATATATACATATACGATGCAATGGTCAGCACCGGTGCAACATGACCTCGTGGGCCGCACCAGTGCCGTCGCCAATTACTACTCTGAGGAAAAGAGCGGCGACGCGAGAGCCAGCAGCCGGCCGGCACTAGATGCAGAGCTGGCTGCATGATAAACCGCGTAGGGGGGTCGATGGTCAGGCCAAAGCCGAACGTTTGCTGATTTCCGTTCCGTTTTGTCCGGTCCATGATTGCATCGGAGAAGACCAGGCCTGGACCCGAAAGTCTGGGCAACTGGCGGCGATCCGATTATCGGAGATTCCGGGGAGGTTGGCCATAAAGTTCCCCTTTGGGCTAAACCCGCCGGGACACTCCTCGAACCGAACCAGCGCAGATTCCGGGTACCTGTTGCTGCGGCTCTTCCGCCGTGAGTCCACAAGGTTGAGGGAAGGGGGATATCCATCCTGCAATTATGAGGTCAGGGCAACCCATGCAGTTTCGAGATCGAAAGATCTGTCTGATACCGTCGTCAACCACGCCCGCCGGGATGGTGAAGCCCTTTGGCCTCCCCGAGCCTTATAGCACCCGGCGCCCACCCCCCACGAGCACGCGTGGGGGTCGGGTTGCGGGGTGAGCTTCTAGAAGAGCGCAGAGGAAGTAACACCTCTCTCGCGATACGAGGCAGAGGATGGTGGCGAAGAGTTGGAGAGGCGGCAGTATATTTGAGCCATCGGGTCGGGCCCAACCCTGGCAGGCGAAAGCCACGCATGGCTTAACAACGCCTTCGAAAACACAGGCTCTGTTCCTGTGGTTCCACGGCCCCTGGTTCATGGGTGTCAGCGCTGGGGGTGGATTGGAGACTGGGCAGCCTTTGCTGGGTCAGCTGATCACAATGTCGATGGTTGACCCCAGCTTCTCATCCCATCCCGTTCCACCCAGAAATGAAAACAGTCAATGGTCATGGAGCGGTCAAACTCGGAAGGGGAGTCCTGGGACCCGTATGAGGTTTTTGAGAATGTTCCACAGCCAGGCCGCGAAGAGAAGCTATTTGGGGCCCGGCCTGAGGGTGTGATGCTATGTAATACCGAGTCACACGCCCATGTCCCAGCAGAGTGGAACCTAACCGAGCCGACGGCGTGCGAATGGAAACGCATTGGGAAAATTGCCCTTTTCTTGTACTTTGGGCAGCCAGCCCCAAGGCAGGATTTGGTGAGCTGTGCGTCCAGAAGGGTCACATGAGGCTCCGCCAACTGTGTAGCGCGCTGACCAGTCACTTCTCTGCTGAGCCATGAGCAAATGCACTGGCTATGACTCGTCCAACAAGTGTCCTTGCAATTGAGTTCCATGGTGCCTAGAAACAGCACCTCACCGCCGCCCCGCTTGTGGTTGGGAACTTGGGATCGCTGGTGGGACGGGCGCCTTGATTCGTTTTCGGTTCGGCTGGCTTTTCCCCGGGCTGCTGTATCCAGAGAAGAGCCCATGCAACGATGGCCTCCTCCCAGGACAAGTCGGTAAGCAGGGACGGGGTGGGGATAATTTAGACCGACACCTCTTACGTAGCTGTGAGGATACCCTCCTAGTCCCTCTTGTTAGTCGCCCCGAAGGCCCGACCAACATCCATTTTGTACCAGGAGGCACCAATTTCCCGGAATGGATACGTACCAGGTTTTTTTTTCTTGCCCTTTTTACCACAAGCAGCGGCTTCACGGACCCGGGACCACTAGCTGCTTTGCTTGCCATCCCCCGGAGGAGGTCCCCATGGTCATCGCCGGCGGGTGGCGTGGCCCCCTTGTCAGGCTCGACTTATACAATATGGAAATTAATATATTAGCTGGAGAGACCGCACACCTCTGCCCGCCTCGGCCCTCCCATCTGCCCGTTCCCATGACGTTTGCGTGTCTGCCGTTTGCTTAAGAACACACTCGTTCCTCCTCACCTTTCCTTTTGCTTCCTAGATCGCCTTTAAAGTTCAGCACGCTTCCATCCATGAATAACAACCCTTCACAACGTCACCCTGTATGACATTATACCTCTCGGCTGAAAACCTATAGTCCCTTGTGCGACGCAACTTGTAACAGCATACTTATTTTGTTTGCTTCCGGTTTTCATCTGCCTTTTCCGGCCGGAAGAGAGATAGCGAGCGATTGCTTCTACGATCAAGGGGGACTTAGAGAAAAAGATATATACAAAGACTTGAAGAAATGCTCTCCTACGACTCTCCAGTCCCCGCCGGCACAAACGGCCACACCAATGGCCACGCCTCGTCGATAACGACCGACCACAATGGCAGCATGCCCTCCATCAGACCGAGGAAACAGACGACCAAGCACCACCACATCTGGCTGGTTACTGGCCCTGCCGGGAGTGGCAAGACCACCGTCGCCGAGTTCCTCGCCGACAAACTTCACCTCCCATACATCGAGGGAGATGCCGTATGCACAGCCCCCTTCCCCCAGATAACTTCCCAATAAGCATATAGAACTAACTCCTCCTGCAGCTCCACACAAAGGCCAACGTCGAGAAGATGAGGAACGGCACCCCCCTCAACGACGCCGACCGGTGGGACTGGCTCACCCTCCTCCGCGACGAGTCGACCCGGCGCATCGCCTCCGGCTCCGAGGGTGTCGTGGTGACCTGCTCGGCCCTCAAGCGCAAGTACCGCGACGTCATCCGCGTCGCCGCCTACTTCGACCCCCTGATCCGCGTCCACTTCATCTTCCTCGACGCCTCCGAGGACGAGCTGCTCCGCCGCGTCGCCAGCCGCAAGGGCCACTACATGGGCGCCAACATGGTCCGCAGCCAGTTCGACATCCTCGAGCGGCCGGGGCAGGACGAGGGCGACGTCATCAGCGTCGACGTCGGGCGGTCCCCCGGTGAGGTGGCCGAGGATGCGCTGAGCCGCGTGCACAAGATCATCAGCAGTGACCGGTCATATTGAGTCCCCCCCCTTCACCCCTGCGAGGGTGAAAAAAAAGCCGTGCGCAGCTTCCGCCCTTTCACTTGAGGGGTGTGTGTCTTGGCACTGGCCTGCTTCCCCTCACCAAAGGGAAAAATTACCTGGGGGTTACGTATCATTTTGGGAAAGAAGACGGCGACAAAAACGGCGGGCAAGGCAAGGGGGGCGGTGTGATATCATCGGTGTTTGCTAAAGGGATACACTTTGGAGTTTATTTGATTCGGATGGGATTTTTGCAATGCGCCTGGAGTTGGGTAGTTTTATGATTCGGATTCTGTCTGCCTAGATGGACTGCCTGTTTGGTCAGGATATTTTGGATTATCAGCGTCTTTCTCTCGACCACCCTAAGACCAACAGCGGGACAAGCCACGGATACCGGCCCAGAAAGAGAGCGGGTGTTTCCTTTCCGACTCCCTGCTGGAGAACGAGCGAAGGGGAGGACTGGACTAAAGAGGGAGGGGGTGAATCAGGTGGCGGCCATGGCCGGAAGAGGTGGTGTGCACCGGTTGCTAATTGAAAGGGGTTTTCCTTGGAAATTCCTCTTGTTGGGTGTCGATCGCATAGGATGACAAGAAAATTCAATAACGATTATACCTACCATCTATTGGAGAGACGCCGAGCTGACGGCAGGGGGACCTTTCCCTCGCGTCGATGCCTTGGGCGTCCATATGTCTAATCCCACTTCTGTCAAGCGGCATGTAAGTAGATATAACTGGAAGGGGCGGGATGCAAGGTCCTATGACTGGCGTTACACAGCATATCGTAGTCGGGGGAATGTGTACTTTCTGGCACCCTTGCGAGAGAGAAAGACGGGGTTGTGCAACCACCCACCCTCGTCATCGGTTTAGCCTGCCAGGCAGTCGTCCGGCATCTGGTGGCCAAGTGCAGGATGGGAATGAGGCACCTTGGCACCATCCTCTACCCAATGCTGAATGGCGGGATAACTGGTTCACCCTGCAAGTTCCCTACGTCTCTGCAAGTGTGCACATCGAGTATTCGGGCTGGGTGAGACACTTGGCGATATTGGCCGGCACATCTGCACTGGCTTGGCATCTCGGATAGCGTCACGGCATCCAAGACCTACCATCGTGGTCCCCTCTCCGAGACCCCTTGTCAAACATGCAGACTCACGGCTCAAAGCTGTTGTTATTGTGGGGGGCGGGGGTTGTTGTATTTGTGCACGCTGGAATGCAGGTCGACGAGGTCGAAATATGCAAAAATTGCACACCGCATCGAAGAGCAAGGTCAGATAGATACACGTCCAATGTACATGGTGGGAAAAAAGCATCACATGAATACCTGATGTGGCCAAAACCGGCGACATGCAGCATATCTGCCGCTCCGAGGCGAGGATGACCGACCATTGTATGTTGTATTCTTTTTCACATTGTAGCTAGCCTGCCCATCTATGCTTGCAGACAGGCTGAATTAAAAAGGCAGACCCTGTCGCCGAATGCTACCTACCTCAGATGCATCACCATAACATCCGGCTCCTCCACCACTCTCCGCACCACATCGGCGGCCCGCGCCATTGTGGCTCCATCAATGACTCTGTGATCCGCGCTCCAGCTAAAGTTGCAGACTTGCTTCTTGACGACGTTGTCCTCCTCGTCGAATGCGGGGACGGTGCGCATGCGCCCGATGCCCAGTATGGCAACCTCGCGCTCAACAATGACTGGGCTAAGGTACGTGCCTCCAATGTTTCCTATGTTCGAGACAGTAATGGTACCGCCCGAGAGGTCCTGAGGGGAGAGCTTGCCCTGGTTCGCCAGGCCCTGAAGGCGCTGCAGCTCCTCGGCGATGCTCAGGATGTTGAGGGCACCGACGTTCTTGATCACCGGGACGATGAGGCCCTGGGGTGTGTCCATGGCGACACCGATGTTGTGCATGGACCGGTGGACGAGGACAGGCTTGTTGGTCTTCTGATCCACGTCGACGCGGGCATTGAGGCTGGGGAATTGGTAAAGTGCCAGCGAGACCGCCTTGATGATGAAGGGTAGGTAGGAAAGTTTAGCAACCTGAGCCCCGACAGCACTCTCAGGTGACTTGGTAAGCACCTTATTCAGGCGTGTGCGCAGGTCGACAAGCGATGAGAAGTCAACCTCATCGGCGTAGAGGAAGTGCGGAATGTTCAGAGACCGGGTCATTGTCTTGAACATCTGATGCTGTGTATTTGACAGCGGTACCGTGGTCTCTGTCTGGACTGCCGGCGTGTCGGCATATGAAACTAATGAGCCGCCGGACGAAGGTTTCTTAGCGGGTGGAGGGGCCGAGTCCTTCTGCTGCACAAACTTGTAGATATCTTCTTTTAGAACACGGCCATCCTTCCCTGTGCCGTATATGTCATTAATATCCACCTTCAGCTCCTTGGACAGGTGTCTAACTGCCGGCGTAGCCAGAGATGCGCATTTGCCCTTCGGCGGCCGTGGCGGTGGCTCCGTCTCGCCCACCGTCGCCTCAGGCGGAGTTGTGCTTTGTTGGGTTGATGATGAGGGTGTTGGCGCAGGAGGAAGATGTGCCACAGGTTCCTTTTCAACTGCCTCTGGGCTCGTCAGAGCTTCAATGTCCACCGACTTGGCATCTCCCTGGATGTCAATGTCAACAAATGGCTTCCCGACACGGGCCATCTCGCCGGCCTCATAGTACAGCTTTTTAACTGTGCCGGAGAAGCGGCTTGTGATTTCAACCGATGCCTTGTCGCTCTGCACCTCGCAGAGCGGAGAGAACTCTTCCACAGTTGCGCCGGGCTCGACAAACCATTGGATCACTTCACACTCGACGATGCCTGCATTTCGTATAATGTCAGTAAAGAAAGTGACTAGGCGGGAGGAAGGGCATTGCCATCTCACCCTCTCCAATGTCAGCGAGAAGCACTGGCTTTATAGCCCAAAGCCGCCTGGATTCTGAAAACCATCTTGTTGGATAACTCTGTCTCGTGTTGCCCTCGATCGAAAGCTTGGTAAATGATTTGGAAATCTGCCATTGCCTCCGCAAGGCGCGGGAGCCTCGCTGCACAAACATTGCCGGGGTATATTCTGGATATAGATGGTGATGGATGTAAAGGTCCCCAAAAAGTAGCCGGAATGGAGTGTTTCGCACCACCAGCAGAGTTACTGGCCGAGATTAATAAAGCACGAAGGGAGACAGGCAGACACGATGAGGTTAAGAGGAGGCGTGGTCGCAGGTGCTTAAGCCGAGCGGATGGGTTTGGTCGGCATTGAGGAGAGAGTTCACGAGGCCCCGTGGCTAGCCGAAACGCCTCTGCCCGGTCATGGTCATCCCAATGAATGACATGGGCCGGCACAAGCAAGGTTGGTGTGGCACAAGCATGCCTAGCATCCAGGGCGCCGCCCGCTATTAGTACCCCAAACGCAATGCCGCAAGGGCAAACTCTCCTGGCACGTCTCTAATTTGCCCATGTCCATCGGCCGGTTTGTGTCTGAGCGTCACTGAACGCGGAGAAGGGACACACCCCCACACCGATCGGGCTAGTCCCCTTTCGGCTGCCGGTCAATCAGACAAGTCTAACCTCAGCGAGCTCAAATCGACAAAATCTCAAAAGCCTGCTCGTCACGTCACCGAGCGACATCTTTGGCCGAGAGCCAGGCACGGCCACGAGCCCATTCCCGCAACGGCATTGACCCGAACCAGTCTCGGCCAGCCCAGCTGAGACAAACCTAAGATGAGCCATGTTGTGTCCTCGTCCAGGAGGCTCGGCCCGACCCTGGCAGCCAATGCCATGATGCAGCGTCCGATTATGTGCCTCTTCTGCCAGCACCGACGCACCTTCGCTGCATCCGCCATCCGCCATTATGCGAAGCCCGCTGCCGGTGCGTCTCTCGACCCCCAGAGCAAGATAAAGGGGACCCCCATTGAGGCGCCGCGGGGCTACGGCAAGCGCATCGAAGGCGAGTTCACCCCAAAACCGCTGCCCAGGCCCATCGGAATGCAGGACCCTCCGCATGCTGGCGAAAACAGTGGTGTCGACAGCCGAACCCTCCGCCAACGTCGGGACGACTTTGTGGACTATGACAAGCACCTTGTACGGCGAGAGGAATTGTAAGAAACCTTACCTTGCGAGTCTCATAAACAATATGCAGAGACTATGGATCCCCCGGTAGTAAATACACACACAACATGCAGAGACTAATAGCTTGGGACAGAACTGCACAGCTCTCAAGGCCGTACTTCCGCGATTGGGGTAATCTCAAGTTCCACGAGGGCAAGTCCTTCATTGCGCCGCCCCGCCTCTTCAAAGCCGAGCTCTCCCTCTTCTTCCCCAACTTCATCGGCCAGACGATCGAGAAGTCGTCCAAGGAGCCCAAGGACACCACCCCGGTCCTCTCCGGCAGAGCCTCCGTCGTGTCCTTCTTCAGCAGCCAGTGGGCCGAGAACCAAGTTCACTCATGGACGTCCGAGGCCGCCAACCCGGAGCTGCACGCCGTGCTGGCCCAGAACGAGAACTTCGCCCAGATGGTGAGCATAAACTACGAGGACAACAAGGCCAAGGCGTGGATCGTCCGCATGTTCATGGGCACCCTCCGGAAGAAGTTCTCCCAGAGGGACTGGGACAAGTACTTCCTGGTCCAGGGCGGCGTCACCGACGAGATCCGCGAGTCCATCGGCCTGCTCAATAGCAAGGTCGGGTACACCTACCTCGTCGACCAGCACTGCCGCATCCGCTGGGCTGGGAGCGGGACTAGTCACCCCGACGAGCTGGAGGGCTTGAACAAGGGCCTCGCTCGCCTAGCTGATGAGATCAGGAAGGAGGCCGCGCTGCCTGCGAGTGCGCGGGAACAGCACCCAGGCAACAAGCGTGTTGGATAGAAAACTAGGGTATATTTTGGCCTCTTCTTGTACACTATTCCCAATTTTTGTTGTAACAATCGCGCTACTGCAGAACGAACATATATACATTAGGGGAATACCCGCGAGGTTGCTCCCATGCTGTACAAATATTAATTAGACGCTGATACCCCCCTTTATAACGCCCATACCAGATGCTTGCAATAAACCCAATAAACGAAAAGTTAGACAATAAGCCCAGCAACCCTACGATAGGAACCAGAATAGAATGAAGCAGAACGCGATGAAACAGCCCATGATGATCCCATCGCGCCTCTTCTTCGCAGATATCCTGCCGATCAGCGTGTTGATCCCCGGCACCTTGGCCGCGGCCAGGTTGATCCGCCGGTTGATACTCGCCAGGGTCTCCCGCTGCGAGAGGAAGCTGTCGTTGATGGCGTACGCCTGGCTTAGGACCCCGTCGACGACGCCGTGGCTGTTGTCGATGCGCCTACCCTCGTCCGCCATGTAGTCCGCCTCGGCGGCCTCCGGGTTGCTCGCGCGGTACGCATCGATGTCGGACCGAACGCTGGAGAGGAGGTTGGAGCGGTTGCGGGCGTCCTCGAGCTTCGTGCGCAGGCGGAGGAGGTCCCGCTTGTGGTCGGATAGCTTGTCGCGGAGCAGGGTGACGTTCTGCTGCTTGAGGGCGGAGGATGAGAGGGCCTGGTCGGAGTCGAGGAGTCGGGTGAGTTGTGAGATTACGGTAGCTCGCTATTCCAACGGTTAGCCGAGCCTACGATTACCTATCCGTCGGATCTCCAGTATATACCTTCTCCAGAAGCTCCTGGATCTGGATCTCTGTTGCGCGCTCATCGTCTGAAGGCTTAAGCGGGATGTCGGTCCCGGCGGCGAACTGCGAATAAGTGTGGAAGGCCGTCTGGGTCTGGAAGGTAAACGACGTCAGTAAAGTGGTCGCATCTCCCGTCAGTTGCATCGGCGGCTCACTTGTGTCTCCAGGTTCCGCGCCTGTTGCCGTAGCTGATTATAGCCTGCAGCGCCCGTTGGTACAGACATGGTGGTTGAAATGTGGATAGGATTCGTTGATGGAGGGATGAAGCTCGTGAGGATTGCCTGTTGTCATCATTATCAAGTGCCGGCAGTTCCCGTTGACGCGCCACAGCTTTGCACAGCCATAGCAAGGCCGCGCCTCTCAGCCACAGTTACAAGTCCGGCGAATTGGCAGAATTACACACCGCCCAAACAACGACACACTTTCGGCGAGTGTTAGGCTACACGTGACCAGCACAACGGAATTGCAAAATTAGTACCACAATGTCCAATCAGAATCAGCAATAGACCCTGTGTGGACCCACTCGCACATCGCACACAACCAAGCCCTAGGGCAACTTTTACACTCTTCTGGCAAACCTCTCCCAAATTCCTTGAGGCAGCCCCATCGCGATATCCAGACGGTCCCGATCAACATCATATTACCTACGTCGACACACTTCGCAACTCCCATCGAAGGAATATCAAAATGGTGAGTGACAAATGCAGCCCCCAATCCTCATCACCTCGAGCAGAGAATCATTCGGGCCTGTGAACGGTGGCCAGCGGGATGAAAGTTCACATCACGATACTTTTCACCCCCCTCGAAAATTCGACATCGAGCCTTTTCCACCCGAAACACTCGCCCGCTGGCTTCGTATCATGCTGCGATCTCACCGTCACCGCCGATCATCTGCTCCTCTTTTGCTGCCGTACCAAATTCGTGGGAAGGGAACCGAATTGCTGACCTGGTATCTTTTCTATCAATTAGTCGTCGGGCAAGGTTAAGGCAGTCCAACTCTGGGACAAGAGCAAGGATGATTTGACAAAGCAGCTCGGAGAGCTCAAGACCGAGCTCGGCCAGCTCCGCATCCAGAAGGTCGCCTCTTCCGGCTCCAAGCTGAACAAGATGTGAGTCTCGCCCGGCCAAATTCAACTTTTTTTTGGCCCCATATGGTTTTATAATTGTAAACTAACAATTGCCTTCCCTCCCCCACAGCCACGACCTCCGAAAGTCAATTGCCCGCGTCCTCACCGTCATCAACGCCAAGCAAAGGGCCCAGCTGCGCCTGTTCTACAAGAACAAGAAGTACGCGCCCCTCGACCTCCGCCCCAAGCAGACGCGCGCCATCCGCCGCAGATTATCACCCGAGGACAAGGCCCGCGTCCTGCAGAAGGCCAAGAAGCGCAACACTCACTTCCCCCAGCGCAAGTTCGCTGTCAAGGTACGGCTTTCTCATCTATTCCTGGCGCAACGACAAATCATCTAACATATTCTCTTTAGGCTGCTTAAATATCATCCGCAGTGCTTGGAGTAGGATCTGGGTAGAGGGGGAATCGGGGTTTGGAGGCGTGGCGTGCTTTTTCTCTGAACACACTAAAAAAAAAGAAAGACTTCGAAATCTGCATCGCATGGCTCATGGGAATCTCGGTCTGACTTGTACTTATTTCCCGTTTAGGGCCTCGCTCGGGGACGGGCTTGTCTGAGGTAGTCGGCGTGCTATTCTTTGCCTGCCCATAAAATACAAATGAGGTCACGATCAAGATCATAAGTAATGTCTTGGATAAATGCAAGGCTTAAAATATCTAACGCGTGTGGAGTTCATGTGAGGACATTCGGTGAGCCAATACACTACCTCATGAGCGAATATTTGTGTGACTCTAAATCTTCGTTCAATGAATTTCGTATTCTTTTTCAAGCATGGAACTTTTCTTCTCGTTTCCGTCCTTTGTTTGAACTGTCAGACCTTTGGGTATTTTCTGTGGTTGTACAGGCATACCATCCACCTACAACCATGTCCGATCCCCCTCAACGCCACCTTCCGATTCCTATGTACGAATCCAACCAAGACGCCTATCGTATTTGTCTGAAGAGTTGTGACGAATGCAGGTAATCCTCCCTCGAAATGCAAACCAGCCACCAAATGTATATACATAACATTTTCACCCCTATATCCTACCCCAGCATATGGGAAACCATTACTGTTATTTGCGTTGCCAATCCATTTCTATCCTTTGGTGCTTGTACAACCAAAGCCAGACGTAGAGGCCAAAAGAAAATATCGATTATAAATCATCAAGAATTCGTATCTTCGTACCTGCCGCCATGTCTTGAATCTCACAAGATATGGTGATTAAAGAGTGTCGCTCGTTGCCATTTCATCGAGAAAACCATGTTGCTCGCTACCCACAAGCAAAGGCTCCGGGCTAGTAGAGGGGACACCAGTGGGGGACGGAGCAGAACTGCTCCCAGTGCGGTGTCGAGCATGACGAGCATGGCGCCTCCCCACGTTGGCTTGCTTAGAAACCGGCTTGGCATTCTTCAATGCCTCGCTCACTGCCTCTGGCATGTCTTTGTGGTTTGAATTCAAATGCCGCCTCAGTTGATCCAGGCGATTGAAGTCTCTTTTGCAGATGTCACACTCATACATGCCTTTGTCATTGTGAATTCGACGGTGCTTTGTTAGGTTAGATGATTCTCTAAACATAGCACCGCAAACGTCGCACTTCAACGGCTTTTCTCCAGTATGGGTTCGGTAATGCATGGCTGCAGTTCAGTTAGTCGCCAATTCATTTACCAGGGGCGGAGGGCATGGCAAATAGCCAGTGTAAGGATAGGAGACCCATACTCAAAGCGCTGCGCTGCTTAAATACTCGGTTGCAGTCTGGCCAATCGCAAACATAAGGGCACTCGTTGGTGTGAAGCCGCATGTGTTGGTCCAGAGCTTGCTTTGCAGACAACTTCACACCGCACACGGGACATTCAGTGGGTTTCACTATATAAACATGTCAGTACATCCAATTTCATAACAATCGCACTTGGCGGTTACTTACAGCCTGTATGGACTTGTAGGTGTCGATTCAGCTTGCCGCGCTGACTAAAACTTCCGTGTTCGCGTTTGCAGTGCTGCCACATACATGGGTATCCGCCATCGACCCTTTGCATAGTCTTGACATGGTCTCTTCTGCAATGCGCATCCAACTCCTCGCTATCATTGAAATGTTTCAGACATACCTTGCCTGATCCTGGGTCTTTCCAAAAGCATTGGTAGGAGTCGTCTTGGTCTACTTGCATTCCCTCGACCTCGCCCTCCGAAGCCTCCGTATTCTTCTGAAAAATAGACAACTTGGAATTAACATCTCCAGGGGGTGGTGGTGTTGCTATTGTGTCGGGTGTGGGCATAGGGGATGTTCTCACGGAAGCATTGGTTCCAGAGGAAACGGATGTCGATATTGCCCGAGGCTTAATTGACTCATTAGCAAAGTTGAACGAGAAAAGACCCGACGTATGCGTGTTAAATGAAGTCTGAGGCTCTTCAAGGACAGTATCAAGTGTTGGAACGAGATTGCCAGTGTTGATGCATGGCGCGAACCCGGGGATATGAGATAGCAGCGTTCTATGCTGAGTCAAGACGTGTTTGTGGTACATGGCTGGATCTTGGATGGGGAATCCGCATTGATAGTCCGAGTCTGTGTTCAAGAAGGTGCTGAAGTCGAGGCCATCGTTGCTTGTAATTACAGGTAGTGTACATCTTGATAACGCCAGGTTGGGGTTGTCGACTATGCAAGACTGGCTGTGGTCAACCTGGCTCTGATTCGGATCGTGATAGTGAAATATGTGGCTGGCAAATGCTAAACCGGGATTCTCTTGCCAGAATTGTTCTTGGAAGTTATACTCAGCCGCAGGGTCGGCTGAGGTATCCATCCGCATCCCAGTGTTGTTGAAGGGCTGACCCATGCGATCCAATTGTAATTCGGGTGCATGGTGTGTGCATGCTGAATGGCTATGACCAAAGTGGAATTCATTGCCAAACGATGGATGCAAGTGGCTACAACACCCGCTGAAGTCCGGGAGGGCGGCCGAAGTATTGTCCCCAAAGGAAGTGAGCGCTGCGGCAGCGGCGGTCTCGGCCCCAGTGCCCATGGGAAGCGATACATCGCTAATACACTTTACATCTGTGCAAGCATCATGTGCGGCTTCACAAGCCTCGTCGACGCAAAGGCTATCCACACCACAGTCGTCATCGGCGCAGCATATACCAGGGTGCTCTTGCGCAACACAGTCATCGTCAACACACACTTGGCCCTGCCCGTCCACACCGCAGTGGCTCGGACAGCTGCCTACACAGGAAGAACTGCAGGATGCGGCATCGTCGCCAACGGCAGGGCGGGAGACAGTGCGGCCCCGTGTATCTAAACCCCACGCGCTGAGGTTCTCGTCGAAGGCTTCGCGAGCATCGGCCTTTCTAGTCTCCATCGAACTCTTGAGAGATGGATCTATCATCTTGGAAGAGTGGTCATGGTCTAGATTTTGAGACGAGGATTGTTGTAGATGGTTTTGGCTCAAGAATGAGCCGTTGTCGAAGGCAGTACCGTATAATGATCCTTGAGTTTGGGATAGCGATGTGGTCGGAGTCGAGGATACGGCTGGACCGTGGGCTAAAAGGTTATCAAAGTCTGGCATCATGTTCATGAAATCATTTTCAGATTCTGGATCTTGACCCCAATGACCGTTAAAGGCCATGTTCGGGTCATCCATCGCAACAGGATGGTTTGGGTGGCCTGGAATGATCAGACAACACGATGACTCTCGAGTCCAGTTGTCCGCAGGCGGGGTGGTGGCGGCGGGATTCTGACAAGAGGGAAAAGAACTGTCTCAGGAAAAGGATGACAGTGCCCCGAGTCTAGTCGCCTTCTGGGAGACGGCGGTGGAAAGGATGGGCAGTGAGCAGTCAGGGTTCGAGGTCAGAGTTGTGGCCCTTGCTTGGTCAGGTCGAGAGCATGGCAAGGAAAGTCATGGCCGCAACAACCTGTTCGAGCTAGGAAAGATGAAGATGCAGAGCAAAGTGGCCTGCAGCTCGTCTCATGGCTCGACCAACCGGCAGGGTCCAAGCAGTTCCCAGCTTCGCGCAACAATTCTCATCACCACCCAGGACTCGAGAGACGGGGCATGTACCTCTACCGGCAATTTTACGTGCAAAGGTACATTCCGCCCGCTGTGTCGTGGGGCAGAAGCAGGTGCTCGTGAGAACCCTGATGGACAACCTGCCATTGACTGAGGGGCGCCAAGGACGGTTCATTTTGTGGGGCCTTGAGTATAAGGAGACCCACCGCGCTGCATCACATGTAGCAGGTAGCTGGCCCAGCCCGTCAGCAGAGACGCACCAATCCTGCCTGGTCAGCCTATGTACGTGCAACAATTACCAAACCTGCCTGCCTATCTCTGCCTGCGTAAGCCATTTCTCCAGCCACTTATCAGCCACACCATTGACAACCTGGAGCTCTCCTACCAGTCTTTTAAGTATTAGCTTGCTACAGGATACCTATGAATAAGTGAACAAGGACTGTTTCAATATCGAAGCATAAAATGGCGAGTGCAAAAGTGACCTACTAAGGCCGATGAACAATACTTACTGGTCCGAGCCACCATGAAATACCACCAGCGTTTACTACTACCCACGATGGGCGGAGGCTATAGAGCACAGCCCAAGCCAACACCTCACGACCAAGACATTGCTGCTTTGCCAAGGAAGTCCCTCCTGAGATTTTATCCGCCCAGAGTCCCCACGGCAAAAATATAATCAATAGCTAGCCAGTAACCTCCAAGCCAACACCACCTCCTTGACGTAATCAGCAAACAATCAAGGTGCAATCATGCCAAGCCCAGATCAACCCTCATGACCTACCCTGAACCAATCCATTAACCAACCACTGTCCATCCAGCGTATCGTATGGAATCCCCTCTCCTGCAACCCTTTTAGAACCTAGTAGCTTCGAAGATCGCCTCTCCATCACCGGAACGGCCAATCATTTCATAACCTATATCCACATCCGGAAACCCAGCTGTGTGGGTAGCTTCCCGCGTTGCTGCAACTCTGCACGGTGCTTGCGCAACCTCCCGTTCCCTCCCCCGCATTATCTCTCTCCCTTCCCGCCCTCACTTCTATCCGCCTTCCCGTTTCCCGCAGAACATCGCCAATTCCACACCATGGGCAACATCTGCGGAAAGACCGAGTCCGACAACTTCTCCTCGCCGGGCCGCACCGTTGGCTCTGTCCCACCCGATCCATCTGTCCCGAAGACCGCCCCCGTGCCGCGAAAGGTCGGAGGCCCGCCACGCACGCTCGGAGGCGGTTCTGACGGCCAGCAGCCGAAGCCCACGGCTGCGGCCGCGGATACTGACGCCCGTAGGAGGGCTGCCGAGGCTGCAGAGGTAAGGAAGCCCTCATTATCATGCCTCCGTCATCACGTCTCCTACTGCTTATGCATTTGTGCTTTTATTAAACACTAATAAACTCTCCCCTGTGCTATCAACATGTCCGGTTACGCTAATGCAGGTGTGGTGTGATATGTAGGCACGCGCAAAAGCAGCAAACAAGCCGGGTGGTAAACTGCAGTCACAGCTGAACGCGCAGAAAAAGCAAACCAGAACAGACACGCTGCAGGAGAGCAGCAACCAGGAGTTACGTTCACGCGATGCAGATGAGGCCGCCAAAATGCGTAATTGGGACTGAGCATGAGTTTCACACGAGATGATGCATATAGACCGGGGCAAGGTGAAGTTGCGGGTATTCCCACGCGTGGTTTTGGAGTTTGGAGATGTTCACTTCTTGCCTTTGATCAACTGATATTTGTTCCCCATTCTTTTTCCTTCTTTGGGTCACACCTGTTCCATTTATTGTCTTTTTTACTTCCCGCCTAGAATCCTCCGTATCTAGAATCCAATAAAACCTCTTCCACACGAGGTTTGATTGCTCATTACACCATTCCCGTGAATAGAAGGAGCTCTGGAACAATGTTCGCACACTGTCCTTCTATAATATAACAACCAACGCCTGCTGCTCATCAATTTTTAAAAAAATGCCGTGCTTAATTACACTGGCACATCGCATGAAGGAAAACATAGGAAGACTGATCAAGTAGACTTATGTTACAGTATAACGTCCACTGCCAGGTGCCCTGTTGTCCGCATCTGCGGCCGCAATCGTACCTTCCCTCAGTAATCGTGTCAACTCTGTCAAGGCAGAGCTCACCACAAGCTCTGTATCACCCTCAATAAGAATGTACAGCTTGGGTTCGGCTCCCGAGGGGACTTCCTTGCCTGGCGGATAGAAATTGCCCTTGGTAGTGATGGATGTCCCAGTGGCATCCAGAATTTTGGAGACGTTCGTCCGGTTGGTGACTGCCCATCTGGCCTTCTGGGGGAAGTCGTTGATCTCCAGCGTGGCATGGAAAGCACCGGCATCAGGCCCTTTGTTATCGATGGGTTGGCCAGCCCGAAGCTGACCTGCCTTGCCGAGGCGGCTGTTGATGGCACTAACGGCAGAGCTGACCTTGTCCAAGGCATCCTTGCCCTTCTCTGCGGCTGGGGCAGCTGAGACTTGACCAGTCTTTGCATCTCCCCCTTCAGTCTTTGACGTCTCGCGGGAGTGAATGGTCGAGGCAGCAGCCCTGATGGCGTCGAGAGCCTTCTCAACCTTTTTATCGTCGTCCTTGTCCTTGTCCTTCTTTTCTTCCTTGACATCTTCCTCTTCGCCTTCGGCCTTGTGGGTCTTGCGCTCTCGAAGGCGTGCTGCTTCTCTCTCCTGGTCAAGCCGATCAAGACCCTTGCCACCAAAGCCAGATGTATCCTTCGCCTTGCCCAACTTTACCTTCTCGCGATGGGATTTCCTCATTTCGGCGAGATCCTCGGGAACGGGCTGTCCACTCTGTTCGAGCGCTTTAGCAATACCTGGCGCGCAGTTCTCCTGGGTGGGGGTGACAAAGGTGACAGCAACACCCGTGTTACCTGCTCGACCAGTTCGTCCTGCTCTGTGGACATAATCTTCCAAGTGATTCGGGGCATCGTAATTGATAACAAGCTTAAGTTGCTTGACATCCAGGCCTCTTGCTGCCACGGACGTGGCAATCAGAATCGGAACCACGCCCTTCTTGAAGTCTGAGATGGTGGAATCACGGTCCACTTGATCCTTACCACCGTGAATAGACATGCAAGGGTAGCCTTTGGTCAGCAACTCTTTAAGTAAGTCGTCGGCCTTCTCCTGACGCTCGACGAAGATCAGGGTTCTAGCATCCTCATCTCGATCATACAACTCGCCTAGGAGCTCGAGTGTACGCACGAATTTGCTGGTCTCCTCGCGAACTTCCACAATTTGCTCGATTTCTTTGGCCACGACGCTACGACCGCCCACAGTGATCTCAACAGGACTCTTGAGTACCTTTTTAGTCAATGAGTCAATGATACGGGGCATAGTGGCCGAGAATAAGATGGTTTGTCTGTCGGGTCGCATATTGGCAAAAATCTTCATTACTTGAGGCTCAAATCCCATGTCAAACATACGGTCAGCTTCATCTAGAACGACGTATGTGACTCGCCTGAGATTGGTGACACGACCTTGATTTGCTGCTAGAAGATCAATCATTCTTCCAGGGGTGCAGACAATGATCTCTGCTCCACGCTTGAGTTCGGCTATTTGGTCGCGGATAGGCGCACCTCCATATGCACACACAGACCTCAAGCCCATCGACTTAAGGAAAGGTTTGCAGTCTCTATGAATCTGGGTTGCAAGTTCTCTGGTAGGTGTCATGATAAGAGAAATCGGCCCATCATTTTCTTTGAGAGGCGGCTGGTCTTTGATGTGCCGAAACATGGGAAGCAGGAAGGCAACCGTCTTTCCAGAACCAGTCTTTGCAACGCCAACAACGTCGCGACCGGACATCAGGGCTGGAATAGCCTGCATTTGAATTGACGTGGGCTTCTCGTAACCCAAATTGGCAATTACATCCAGTGTTTGGCTTGTTAGGCCACATTGCGCCCATTTCTGAACGGGTTTCGGGACGTTCTTCCCGTTCACCTTAATACCGTCCAATTCGAGTCGCAACTCAGCAACCTCGGCTTCTGATAGAACACTAAGCTCCGCAGGCTCAACCCAGAAATCCTTTCGGATGGGCTCGATCTCGATTCTGGTGTAATCCACAGTGGGAATGTCCTTCTTCTTTCGTTTCTGTGTTATAGAAAGCAAGGCATTGGCATCGCGGCTCTCGTCTGGATCAACACCAAACTCGTCCTCACTAAAGTATGCCTCGGGCTCTTGTAACTTATTTTTGGATGATTTGAGCGCTGGCTTGACAGGCGCCTCCTGTAGGTCGGCCATGAAAGCGTCTAGAGGATCTACCTCTTCCTCTTCATCAACGTCCATTTGCTGGCTAACATTCTCCTGCAGGGGAATAGTGTCACTGGCATCGCCGTTGGTATCTGGAACATCTTGAATTGAAGTGTCAGGTCCCTCGTCGGTGTCCATTTTATCAGCTTCAGGTTTCTCCGTTTGATTCTCGGCTTGCAGTCTCCTTTCATGGGCGGCTCGGGCAGCAGCGGCGGCTTCTTCCTCATTCTCTGCAAAAATGTCGCCGTCGGATTCATCATCATCTTGGTCTGCGTACGGCGTATCGTCGGCCTCAATGGGTAGAGTGGGCAGTTTGGTCAATATTCGCTTCGTTGTCACTTCTTCGTCGAGATCTAGCTTTCGCTTTGAGGTGAGCTTGTCGTCGTTGTGCGACTTCCCAAAACCAAAACCACTCGTCTTGGCGCGATTCGCAGGTAGTGCAGAAGCTTTGCAATTGGTGTTAGCAGAATGTATGTAGTTCGGGTGATTCTGAAAGCAGTCATGCTTACCAGTGGCGGACTTGTTCAATGACCCCCCCGGTGGTTTTGTCTGCACATTGACAGATCCTAGAACAGACTGAGATGCATCAAGAGAGCGTGCAGCAGACTTCTTCGCAATCGCCTTGGGGTCGAACTTTCCCGGGTATTGAACAGTAGGGCTGTTAGCAGAAGGGGATGCATTGCCCGATTCAGTCCTAGTCAAAGGAGATGCGCCTCCAGACGCAGGTGCAGAAGAGTCGCCTGTCACCTTTTTGTCCATCTCAGCTAATAGATTTCGGGTCTGGTGGGGGTTGACCTCCTTTTGCTTCTGTGATACACTCTCCTTCTTCTTCTTCCATGCTTCAAGCTTGGCCAGTCGTTCAGCCTTCTTGTCAGCCTCGGACTTGACCTCGGGTTTCGGTTTCTGAGGAGAAAAAGTAGGATTAGCCATGCGCTTAACCAATGGACTGTCTCGACGAACCTCGTTGCTTGCTTTGGCACCATCTCTCACAGGTGATCTTGCCCCGTCATCTCGTCGGCTGCGGTTATGGGATTCGGGGCCGTCAGTACGGCGCGTGTTTGCCCTGTCACGGGAATCGTCCCTTCTTCGATAGCCTCTGTCATCGTCGCGGCTGCGTTGGCGCCGTCGGTCAGGAGATCGGATTCTATCGTCATATCGATCTCGAGATCTGCGACGGTCCCTATCGCGATAGTCGCGTCTGTCGCCACGGTAGTAAGCATCATCTCTGCGGTCTAATGACCGATCTCGTCTACGGTCTCGTTCCCGATCCCGATCCCGGCCGCCATGACCTCTGTTTCTGTCCCTGTCCCTGTCGCGTTCGCGTTCACGATATCGATGCTGTTGATTGATTATGCTGTCAGAATAAAGACCTTGGGGGCTCCTATAGTTGTAGCTTCTCACATCAGGGCTGCGCGACCGTGATCGACGGCGGTCGTCGCGGGGGTCCCTATCTCGTCGGTCGTCATCCTTGCGGTGGCGACGAGAGCTATGGTGGCTGCCTGCAGGACTTGGTGAGCGCGAGTCTCTTGGCCGAGCCATGGTCTGTCTTAATGTGTCCCAGGTCTCGCGGGCTCAGCAAGGAGTTCTACAATGGTGAGCAGTACTCTTTTCCGTTTCCTTCCCAGAAAATCGGCCGAGGCCATGCGACCAAAAAAACGACCCGCCACTGAAAAAAAAACAATTACAGAGGCGATCGGTAAGAATATGGGAGCACAGGGAAGGCGCGAGAATCTAGAGTATGTAGAAAACACAACCCTCGTCTGTTGTCTGATGACGATGCAAGAAGTTAAATGGCGTTGTGGAAGTGCAGGCAGAACTTCTGGCATTCTCAGAATTGATTCAACTGGTCGAGGCGATCAAAGAGCGGAGGCTTAGCCATTTTTGGCAGCCGCCCCAGGTACCCACTTGCATGGCAAAGCTGCACTAGTCCAAAAAGGATCTCACTCGCTTGCCTCAAAGCTTAAGTTTCAAATACATCTGATTGAGGGCGCGTTCTGCTTATCAGATTCCACGCCCGCGCCATTGGATGGGCAAGGGTCGCTAGCATGGCTGGTCTTGTAGGATACGCAAGTAGCGACGAGGACGAGGAAGTCGAGCAGCCCCAGCAAACTCAAGTATGTTCTCTTACAGTTCAGCTCATGAAGCCTTGCACTATTGACACCACCTGCAGCCAGCTGGTAAAAAGCCATCTTCAGAGACCGCCGCAGCGCCGGAACCGCTGCCACCAGTTGATGAGAGCGGTAAGTTTCAAGGAACTCCAACTCATTTAACCATATTCGATGAAGCAACTGACAAGCCTGAAAGCTAAGAATGGCACATCTGAACAAGCCCAGGTGCAGAAGGATGCTCCATCTAATGAGGATAAGGGCAAGGTGACTATTGGCCCTATTGTCCAGAATGCCACCCCCTTAGGTCCCAGCCTTCCTCAGGTGGGAGATTCATATCCAGGGCCAGAGAATGATGCACTCGATGAGGCACCAGGCTCACCTTATTCAGCGAACCGGGCAGCATTGCATGATCTCACACTCCCTTCCATCCCAAACATGGACATCCCCCCATCACCGCCAGGATCGCCAACGGAGGCGACCAATAAGAAATTTGAACAGTTTATACAGCTGAAGAAAAAGGGAGTTCATTTCAATTCTAAGCTGGAAACTTCCGTGGCGCTTAAAAACCCAAGCCTGATGGATAAGCTCATGGCCTTTGTGGATATTGATGAGCAGTCTCAGTATGACACCACACTGCCGGCGGACTTGTGGAACCCTAAAGGGTTCCCCGACTGGGCGTACCGGGGCAGCCTTAAGAAGAGCCAAGATAAAATTGCACGAGAGAGGGAGTCGGAGAAGGTTTCCGGCACCAGGACTGCGGTAGATTTTGTGCCAGCCGTTGGGTCAGGGACCGCAAACTCTTCAGCTGGGCTCGTCTCAAGGAGCGAGAAACGGGAGGGTGGATGGTAATAGAACTTCTTTGGGTGGAAGGAAACATGGATCAAACTAGAAACTGGGGTGAAGTCGAGCGCTTGGTTCGGTTGTATGGGAAATGAGAATGACCTTTTTGAGCATTGGAAGATGCCCTGCTTTCCTCCGACGTTTAAAGGAGAGAAAAGCAAATGAACAATACGTTATTTGCTAAATGGATTGATAAAGCGATTTATAGGACAACTCTTCAGAAAGCAAGGCGGCAACCGGGCGACATTGAAGTTGATACAGTCAGATGATGATATATTTCTCAAGTCTGTGATCAGTATTTAAACATTATTGGGCGTGAATAATAAAAATGAAAAGCAATGAAGTTCTCCTTTGCTTTTTTTATTGTTATATTAAATTATTCATTGAAGAAAGTGCTTTGCTTATAACCGCTCCTCAATTCGATAGTTCACTTCTTCTATCTAGTAGTCGTCGTCAAGAGTTTCCTCAAACAGCCTTCGCGAAGATCCGCAAAATTTCCGCTGATTTGACGTCGAGCCCAGTTGTAAGATTCGACATGGTATATCTCATGTGCTAGAGATAGCAGATATTTGATAATGAGCAATTCATGCTCGGAGCTATAATAAAAGAAACTACTAAGCCTTTGGCGGTCCGTCCTATCGGCTGAACACATCGATGGTCATGCCCTTGATCTTTGGAAGTAGAAGATCCTTGTAGTATTATGAATAGGTAACGATGAATGGATCCCGCTTTTGAGACCATATCACGACAGCACTTTGGCATTCATGACACAATTCCAAAACAGGTCAATTTCTACTTCTGAGGCTACCTGAATGGCTAGAAAGAAGAAGTGCTCACCTTGTAGTTAATTAGTATTATTATCGTGGTGTCACAACGCCTGAGATTTGTGTCTACCCTTGCCGCCTAACTGCGTGCTATTAATGTTGGTCAACAGAATGATAGAAGGAAGCCTTTCAATTTCCTGTTTCGCAGCATCTTCGTATGCCCTATTTCTATGTATTCTGGAGCCGGCACATCCTGGCTACCCTTCCATTATTGAGGTATCATAAACTAAGAACAAAACCCACGACATCAGCGTGACCTTTTGCCAATATATGGCTGCCAATGCCAGAATATACAAAAGTCTCATCATATTTACGTTTCCTTTCTTTCCTCTTCTCCACATTCGAGCCTAATCATGATTGACATGCCTAAGAGCTGCAGGAGACGTTGACGTTGAGGGAGCTCTTGATTATTTGACCAATATTAACGTCGACAGTCACGTTGGCGCTTCCGAGAGCGGTAGCAAAGTAACTGAGACTTTGCCCGTTGTTCGTGACGGACTGGCCAAGCATCTTGAGGGGAATGACGCCAGTCTGGCAGTATGCTGGAGATTGGACCAGTTGCAGGATACCAACTTGGTTCAGGCTCCCTTGAATGTCATAAGTATTGTCGCCAGGGACCAGAAGCACATTGTCCATGGTGATGTTGCCGTACTGAGTATCGCCGATGTAGTTGGCAAATGTAATATTTCCCTGATGAGAAGTTAGTCTGAATCTTTGGATTACAATGACAAATTCGGGCTGCCACAGATTTTATAGGTGTACCAATGCCCAAACCCTTGTTTGGTCGAGGAGAGACAGTGGAGAATGATGCGATGCCCAACCAAAAAGAAAGCAACTTACAATGTCAAGAGTGAAATGGGAGGCGTTGGGAACTCTTGCCTTGCCCCAGAAATTGTTGCCTTGGCTGTCCTTCTGGAGAGCCACTCTGCCTTCAAGGACCTCTAGGCCGTTGAAGTGGTTGAGGCCCTTGATGTCGAGCGTCTTCTTGAACGTGACGCCGTACTTGCGGTCTAGGCCGGCGGGCTTGGCTTTGGTGTCGCCCTTGATAGTGACGCGGAGGGTTTCGTTGCTGGCGAACCAAACATTGAACTGCGTGAAGGCATCCATGTCTGTGATGGTAAGTGCCTGGCTGGTATTGACCGCCAATAATTTCTCGGCCGAGGTTTTGGGAAAGTCGACGCTGGCGAAGGGTCTCTGTCCTTCTGCGTCCTCCAGGTACATATCTCCGACAAAGGGGTCGATGTCGGCATGGATCTTGCCATCTGTGGTGATTGTGGAATTGATCTCCAGGCGATAGGCCTCGCTTTGGGTATCGAGGACGTTGACACCTTGGATCTCGAGCTTGGCGTCATTGATTTTATTTTGGGCGATTTTCGGAAGACCAACAAAGATGCTATATTAAATCGTAAGAAACTGGAGACAAGGATGTGTAATATGGCTGGTTGATTCACTTACACTAGGCACACGACGAGAACGACAATGGCGATGACCACAAGGAGATATATCCACCAGAAGCGCTTGCAGTGCCCTAGACATCTGCGCTTCCTGGTTGGTTTGTGTGTGGGACTGACATTCTCGATCTCACGTCCATTCACCTGCTCAGTTTTGTCATCCATCTTGAGATGTATTAAACCTTTGCTGCGGTTTAAGAATCACAATCTTGGAAAAAGTGTTCCCTTGATATTACAGCAATGAGCAATGAGGATGAGTAGTGATGAGAGGTTGGTGGACGTGGAGGGGAGCACCAGGATAAGAGGTGAGGTCAACGAACAGGGGACGACGTGTGGTAGACCAGGTCAATTATATATCTACGTTTCCTCCCACCGACGATACTTAAGAACAATGCGGAGAAGTGGAAGAGGGGCAATGGGATGTGGGCGAGAGGAGGCAAGGGGTCCGAAGGCATCGCATCAGATGATAACCCCCTGCTTCGACACCAGTGCTCAGGCATCTAATAGTTCAAGCTAATGTCTGGCTCACCGACAAGGTTTGATTGAAGGAGGTGTGGTCAAAAGTGCTTGAGAGAACGAAGCAGCAAACTCGTTGCCAGGCATCTTTCAGCCAGCGAGCAGGCACGAGAAACGCGCTAGACGGTTGCCACACAGCACAGCTCTGCTAGACCCCGGACTCGAGATCGGCCAATTAGTGCATATGACATATTGGCATCTCAAAGAAGACCAATCGTTGAGTGTTGATGGTCAGTAGTGGGTGTGCTGCAGCCGGGGTTGAATGCCAGAAGCGGAAGACCCCCGGACGCTGAACCTAGTGGCGGAGGTTATGCTTCTGGTAGGAGATGAGAAGGGTGCGTTACTTTCGAATACCAGCTAACGACCAACGAAACTGTGCATGGCTCTGCCTTTGTCCCGGCCCGGGATGGTACTGCGTCGGTACCCCGCAGGATGGTGTAGTGGATGTACATCTCCCTTCGACAGTCTTCAGGGATACAGATTGTTGACGGGAAACTATACAGAAGTCAAGTGAGTCGATAACAAGACGATGCACGGCATGTTTCGAGTTAGCTATGCGTTGCCCAGTATCAATGCATAGACAATCTCGCGCCTGAGTCTGTGAGTAGTATTGTCTCATCTTCTTAACCTTTGAGAGCGAAAAGGCCGATCAAGATGCCACCATTGGCCAATGATCCCTGAACGCTGTAATTACATGCCTTACAGCTGGCTGTGGAGAACCAACAAGCCGACCAGGATACAATAACGGCTGGCTTGCCCCTGCACCTCGGTTTCTTGTGATGATGCATATGAGCAGCTCTGAGCACATGAAAGTCAATTCACCATATTTCGCCTTGGAAAAGCGGGAAATGAAGGGGGAAAAAAAGGCCAAGTCCCCTCCCCGCACAGCATCCGTGCCGAGACTGTGGAGAGGATCCTCCTCCATATTACTTGGCTTGCTTAGTCTTGCGATCCTGGAGAAATATGGGGTAGCCGGGCTGGCAGGAATCTGGATGTCGCCCCGGATTATTATCGCTGTTAAGGCCTGCGAAGGAACATTCGCCGCCCTTTTCCATTAATTGACCAATTTTCCCTTTAGGCAGGTAAGGAAGGAGATGAGATGGCCTGGAAGCAGCCGGGAATTGACAAGACAACGGGATCTCAAGGAAGTTGTTTTGGGAGTGACTGAAGGGACAAGAATCTTCGCGAAAAAGCAGGTGGCGCACTTAGCGGCTCCTTGGGGTGCGCCTTCCCCTCCACTGTCATCTTGGTTCCTTCCCGCCTGGCGATCGCAGTTGGTCGCCACCACACGGATGTGATACTGCATGGAGGCTAATGCAAGCTGGCAGGAGCGCCCGGCACAACTGGCGGACAGAAAGAGCTCCTCGTGTTTGCCGTTTCCCGTTTCGGCCGACGTCACACGATCGTTTCTTTCCAACATCTTACCCAGATGGTCACCACCGGCCATGTTCTTGTGGGCTGGAAAAGCCTGATTGATCTCATTCAAGTGCTTGGTCTCGTCACAACATGTTGCGCCACCGAGATTAACTTTGGGCTTTGAGATCGTGTGAAAAAGTTCTCCCAATCCTTCTCCCCTAACCGCTTTTACCGTTCTCGCCGAATCAAGGTACCATTTCCAGCTGCCCACCAGACATGGGGAAAGGTAAATCCCAATACGAACAAGGCTACGCCCGATGTTACCCCCCTCGGCATTTCCATATTCCTGCTGCTCAATTTGCATGTGCTACTCAACCACATTGTTGGACCGAGCCTGCACCCTGGCTCTTAGAATGGACTGTTGTGTCTCAACCTTTCCAGCCATCCATGTGGCGTCGAGCTCGCTGATAGCAAACTAATCTACAATAGTGCCCTATTGGAGGGTGAACCACGTGTAACTCTCAACGGGCGTTGAGATGCTAGCCACGATGTGCTTCACTTTCCTCGTATATGACTTGAATACGGAATTAGCTCGACTCTTCCGCGGTACTTTGCTTCGCTCCAGTCCATTGATTTGGGAGGAACAATGAGTCCATATCCACCAACTTCCAACTTAATGTTTGGCTAGACACACTGTGACGCCTCCCATTGTGGTAACATGCCCATTACGAGCGAGAGATTGTCGCCAGACGTGCGCATTGCATGAGAAGGCGACTAACGTGCGGCCGCGTTGAGGGGAAGTACCCGTTCCCTGCCCCTACCCATTGTCACGGTGTCGCTGCATGGAAGAGCCACGACGATCGCCTCGGAAACTAAATCTGATGACCTCGGCCAGTTGAAGCTGATCGATGGGGATCTGAATGCGCACGAGGTCTTCCAGGGACCTCTTCGCATCCTCAAGAGGGCCATTCGTCATCGACACAACCCACTCCTATCGATCCCCGCTCGTTGCCTAGGCAGGCCCCTGACGATGAGGAGTGGGCATTCTTGATGCTCCTACAAGACTAAGGCATCTTGGAGTTGCGTTCTCTATCGTTTGAGGGTTCTAATCGCCTCATCTATGCTCATATTGAGTACTAGGCTTAGGCAACCTTGACCCTGCTTGGCTGGGCGCATTCGGGGAGAGCGGTAGCCCTCGTCCCTAGTCTCTCCACAAGCCCAAAGAAGGAGAAGACCACTTTCAAAAAGTACATATTTTATCAAAGCGAGAACGGACAGATGGAAATAAGTCCACAGTACATCTCAATCATCAACTTTGAAGGCTTTGTGCATAACATATCCCATTGCCCAAGGATAGTTCCAAGCCAATCTACCTCAAAAAAAGAAGATCCACAGTACTAAGCATGTCTATGATATATTGAAAACAAAATCTCTGAAGGGTTAATCTCTAGCTCGGCACCGTGAGTATGCTTCCGCCAGATAATCAAGCAGTAGCATGGTGGCCATTGACGGGCTATTGGTGTGATGTACTGGCTCACACGAATGAAGAGTCTGCGTGGGACACGGGCCTGTAAGATATTCGCAAGAAATACTCGATGACTGAATAATGTGAAAGGCGAGGGGTCAAGCAGGCAACCGTAGCCCCCTTGTCTCCCAATATACATTGTGCTTTATGCGCTCATCGTATAGCTAATCATTGGTGTATGAAGGTTGACAAGAAACTTGGTTATTGTTTCTCAAACTGCTGCTAAGGACGCTGAAACCTCTTGGCTACGGTCTTCGTTCTGAAGTGATCGACAGCCAGCCGAGGTGACACATGAAACTCCCATGTTTAATCTATGGAGGTGGCATCCGATCTCTATCTCCTTCTATATGTGGGACTATTCTACACCCCCCTTTCTGCCCGGCTCATCTATGCTTACAACTTGGACCACAGACCCTTCTTCTCTAATCCTGAGTCACCATCGTATATATCTCTTTCTACACGCCGTGTGTTGATCTGAGACAATGGTGAGTAGCTGAAACAAAATGGCGTCGAAGGTAACCTACAAATCTGGGACCCAAGTCGGAGATGGTTTTGGCCCCTAGCAATCTCATGCACGTTGCCGTTTCCGCCTCGAGGACTAAGAAGTGCCATTAGTATCAGAAATAGCCAGGTGTAATCTTCACCCCATCCGCTGGCGAGATGTTGCGTGGACACACGGCCCCGGGGAATGGATATGCGTGGAAGTACTTACTTTCAAACATGCGCTCAACACCGGCTTGCCCGCCTGCTCCCAGACTGAAGAGGGCAGCACGGCCGACACCAACCGCCTTCGCACCAAGGCACAGCGCCTTGACGACATCCGTGCCTCTCTTGATGCCTCCGTCGACCCACACCTCGATCTTGTTAAAGACCTCTGGGCAGTACTTGCGGATCTCCAGGAGAGTGTGCACCGCAGGGGGCGCCGTGTCCAGAGCCCGCCCGCCGTGATTGGACAGAATGATGGCCTTGACCTGCGGCGCGTACTTGGCGGCGAGGTAGGCATCCTCGTGCGTCTGTATCCCCTTGAGGACGATGGGGAGGTCCGTCTGCTCGGCCAGCCAAGCAAGGGTTGGAGCCCAGGTCAGGTCCGGCGCGGTGCCGAAGAACAGCTGCTGCCCGACACCTCCGCCGCCGGGCCGCTTCTCCCCGGACTCCTTGCCGCCCACCTCGACCGTCAGCGAGCGGTCAAAGTTGGACTTCTCGTCCAGCTCGCGCTTGCCGGGCACGGGCGCGTCCAGCGTCAGGACGATGGACTTGTAGCGGTGCTTCATGGCGTTGATGCGCTTGAGCATGGCTATGCTCTTCGCGCGGTCCTTTTGGATGTACAGCTGCCACCCAAATACCTGACCGTCGGGCGACCCCTCGATGATCTGCTCCGGCGTCATTGACGCGTTGTTGGAGATGAGCTGCATGGCGCCGAACCGTGCGGCCGCCTTGGCGATGCCCTGCTCGCCGTCTGGGTGGGCGAGCCGGGCCATGGCCGCCGGCGAGACGTAGATGGGGAGCCCGACCTTGTGCCCGAGAAGGGTCGTTGACAGGTCGCAGTCTGTGCAGTCGACGAACATCCGAGGCCGGAGGAGGATATCCCTGTACACGGAGTTGTTGAAGCGCTTAGATATCAGGTCATCACCCGCGGAGAAGTAGTACGCCCAGCATTTCTTGGAAACCTGCTTGGTGGCCACCTCCTCCAGCTCGTCGAGGTTGAGTAATGTCTCCAGGGGAGGAGGCCCTTGCACAGCCTTCTCGACCTCCTGTACTACATTGGCCTTGACGAGGCTGTCAGGATTCACTTGCCCGAGTTTGGCACTGGGGTGTAGGTTCTCCTCGAGGGTGCCTGGAGGGTGCACGGGATCATACTCCTCTGTGGCGTCCTTCCCGGCGAGAGACAGGATGATCTTGGAGCCTCCGGGGTGCTCAGGTAAGAAGTTGGTAACATCATAGACATTCCCGTACAGAATTACCCAGCAGCTCTCTGCCGTGTTGTGCTTGGCGACTACCACATGGCCTGATTAGCTTGGCGATGCTCATGTGTCCGAGAATCAGTTCCTCACCCTCTTCAGCGTCAAATATCTTGGCCATATTTGCAGAAATGATGTATAAAGTTCGCGCAATTGAGTCTAGAAAGGTGTATCGTGTCTACAACGAGAGTGGCTGACCGTATGTTTGATAACAATAAATGAACTGATCTTTGATTCGTGGAAGGCCTCGGCTGTAGTTACCCCGACGCCACTTTCCGTGAGGATATTCAGGAGAGGATGTAGAAGGACCGCCAACGGAAACAATCACAGATGTTCAACACAGATAGACTCGAATATATTCTCAAAACTGAGAGCTAGCTGCTGTCACGAGAAGGCGCAGGGAGAGAGACAGGAGGGAGAAGAGGAGATGACCAAGTACAATTAAGCCTGCAGCCATTGGGCCACTGAGCCAACCTCCTCCACCAAGCATCCAACGCTTTCCCTGGCCGCGGGTCCACTCGTGTCGGGATAGCCTGCATTTCCCAGGGGAGTTCGCCGGCGGTTGTATCCACAGCGACTTGGGCTAGCATTGAGCCTTTTGCGGAGGGATTGCGGAGGTTGATGCGAGCGAGAAGCGTGCAGAGGTGCTGACTAAGCACGCATCTTGCCCGGTCCCATGCCCTATCGATAGGCAAAACGTCATGGACGGGGAATTATTTCCAACCTCGAATTTCCATCGGAATTCCGTTGTCGGCCTTAACGATTTCGCCAACTGCCACCCTGCGTCGCTCCTTTATGAACCAGCATCCATCCAAGCTCTTCTGAGATATTTTTTTGCGAGTCAATTGCTGCATTTATATCCCACCTGCGTTTTTCCAGCTGCAAAAAATGGCAACCTCATCACCTGCTCGGCACGTGTACCGACTCTGCGCAAGATGCCAGGTCCACGCCCAACGCACGTCGTGCGCCGCCGCCATCCCAACCCGCCCATCTCTCCTTCAGAGAACAACCGCCTCCGCCTCCACCTCCGCTCCCGTGTCTCTCGCCTCTAGCAGTCCTCACTGCATGCCCTCAGGAGCCTCCTTCTTCTCTTCCAGCGTCGCCCTCCGCCGAAACGCCGAAAACCCCGACCCCTCCACCTCCTCGTCGTCCTCCTCTTCGCAGCCCTTCTCCTCCGGCGCCCCCAAAACTCATTACGAACTCTTCCCAGAGACCTTACCCCAGGGCCCCCCGCCAGCCGGCCACTTCCCCATCGACACCCGCGCCCTCCGCCGCGAGTTCCTCCGCCTCCAGGCCCGCGCCCACCCGGACCTGCACCCGGCCTCGGACAAGCCCCGCGCCGAGGCCGCCTCCGCCCTCATCAACGACGCCTACAAGACCCTATCCAACCCCCTCCTCCGCGCCCAGTACCTACTCGCCCTGCGCGGCGTCGACGTCGCCAACGACGAGACCCTCAAGGTCGAGGAGCCCTCCCTGCTCATGCTCGTCCTCGAGGCCCGCGAGGAGATCGAGGACGCCGAGTCCGAGGCCGACCTCGAGGCCCCGCGCGAGGCCAACGACGCCCGCATAGCCGCCAGCGAGGAGGCTCTGGATATCGCTTTCGCCAACGACGACATCGACGCCGCCAAGCGCGAGGCCGTGCGGTTACGGTACTGGGTCAACATCAGGGACACCCTGCACCACTGGGAGCAGGGCAAGCCCGTCGTCCTGCAGCATTAAGGAAGGGGAGACGGAGGGAGAGCCGCGGCGAGGAGGTGTGAATCCAAGCTGAAACCTTGAGTTCGCAACGGGATACTTGACCCCCCGCTCAATTTTTTGGTATCTGTCTATGTGCGCGCGCCTGTGCGGTCTTGCGCTCTGTGTATACAATAATATTAATAGAATAGGCGGACCAGTCTGGCGAAGCCCACCACGCGTGAGAATAGAAAAAAAAGGGAGATACATTGTGTCGTTGAATTCATGCAAGGCACCTGTGCCACAGGTACGCCTCATCGCCGAGTGCGACCTCTCAAGGTCGGTTTAATGCACCATCCAAAGTTCATCCAATGGAAAAAGGGAAAACTCCTATCTATATCGCGTGCCAAACCGTACCCCCTTTTTTCACCCCGCTTGATTTGTAAAAACCTGGTATATGCTCATGGACTGGGAAAATGTGTATCAAGTCGTTAATACGAAGGTATATATTTGTGTGTATTTGTATTTTCATCGCTCATATGCTGGTAGTTGTTCATTATGAAGTCTGTGATCCCGTGCTCTGGAAGGGCCCGCGCCAACTCCGTACCCTCGATATTCGTCCTCTTCGGTGATCATGGGAGCGCTTGGCTCGGCGTCTGGGGCCATATCCCGCCTTGACGTGCTGTCGGGTCTCTGCATGTCTTCGGGGATTTGGGGCGCGCTCGCCTCGGCCAGTAAACGCTCGCGCTCGATTTCTTGTTTGTCTTGAGATGGATCGCTCGGAGAAAGCGGCTGTAGATCACCTTCCGTAGGGGCTGACGGGCCATCCTCTGCGTCTCTATTAGGGAAGCTGGGAGTGACATGAGGCAAGCGTGGTGTTTCATCTGCATCGTAAATGTTTTCCTCCTCATTGTCTGGCGGAGACGAAGGACCAGCCGCTGGTGGTTGGCTGGGAAGCAGCCTGTTCTCTGCTAGCTGGATTCGCTCCTTTTCGGACATGTTCCGCTCATCGGGAACCTGAGGTGAGGGAATGTAGTCCGGTGCTGGGACGTGTCCGACACCATTGGTTTCTCCGTTCACTGAATAAGGATACGGCTGTGAAGGAGCTGTAGGTCCGTGTGGTTGTTGGGGGTGTGTAGGCGGCGGTGCTCCATAGTAAGGCTGGTTGCCTGCCTGGGGAGCAAAATTGGTATTCTGAGGGTAGCCGCCAACAAAGGGCGACGGCGATATCCAGTGATTTTCATCGGGTTGGCTATGTTCCGTATAATATGCTTCGTCTTCGTCGCTCTGAGCTATACCCGATGATGGCGACATCTGTCTCTGTGTTCGTGGTTTCCCTCTTCCCCGTGAACTATCCACCGTTCCGACAATGGTTTCTATCGTCATCGAGACGACACCCTTTTCTCTCCGTAGAGGTGAGGTATCAATGATGGTAGAGCTTCCGTGCCTGGGACCGTAGGTATTTCCGTTTTCGAACCAACCGTTGCTTTGTCCAACCCTGGATGACGACCGATTTCCTTGAAGTTGATTAGTTAACTTGCCTCCCAAGTCAACGATTACTTCAACTTGGTATTTGAACCCAATCATATTCCCGGGCGCGCCCTTGATAGTGGGGAATGAGTCGTCGGGGATTTTGACCGACACTGTGACTGAAGTTTGCAACGTCGCCGGATGAATGATTAAAGGCGCAGAGTTCTGATCCAAATCCTTGCGGAAAATGCTCTTGGACCCCGATGAGGACATGGACAAGCCCCCAAGCCCAGTTCGAGACTTGGGAAAACTCTCGTTTTTGTCCGCGCGCTTCCTATCCTCCTTGGACAGTTCGGCCGAGAAGAGTTCGGGAGGAGGAGCCGAGTCAATCCTACCCTGCCGGAATAAAGTGACAATGACACCAGCCATGCTCTTCATTCGCTTGATATGCTGAACGGTAACGCGTACAGGGACCGTGTCCCCAGGCAGACAACCCCCCCGCAGCAACTCAACAGTTGCTGTAATGGTCTTGTCATCCACAACCTGTTGATTGGCCGTCGCAACCTGGGCAAGCTCTGCCCGACTCAAGCCGCCCGTGCTTGCGCTTCGGCCACTCTCACCGCTGATCTCACTACGGATATCGGACTGGTCTAGCCCACGGTCCCGATTCAAATCTTCGGCTGTTGTGGATGGAGCAACGGAGCCAACTTCAGAGGCAATATCATTGGCTACTTCTTGAGTAGTGGCTTGAACGACCTTCTCGGGAGCAAACGATTTCCTTCTTTTGACCCTTTTCGAGATGGGTTCTAGAAAAATCGTCTTTGGGCGTGGCGGTGCCAGTAGACCAATATCCACCTTCTCAACCAGAGTAACCTTCCTGTCGCATGAGGTCGTAGCCGCCATCGATGTCGGTCTGGTCAATGTTGCCATAATTAGATAGGAAATCGACCCTCGTTCGAACTGCTGCCATGTTAGCCCGTTTTCACCTAGTATTTTGCCCCGATAATTTAAGTCCGGAGCAGAGGAGCTCTGGAACTGCTTGATATATGAATCAACAGCGCAAAGCAAAGGGGAGACGTACGTCAATGCTACTCGGTAGCCCTCTTTCAGGAAATACCAAATTGAACCCAAATTCGTATTTCCCGGGCTCCAGCCTGCCATCCCCACTCAGCACCTGCTCGTCCTGGAAAATGCTGGCGAAGCCATGGCCATGATACCGCGGAGTCTCTGAGCCGCCGGATGGTAGGAGAGCGTGCGGGCTTGCGCTGACCGCTGGTTCCTTGAGGACGCGGGCAAAGCCGTTGAGAGAGACCGTCAGATGGGTGATGCGAATAGGCTTCACGATAACGAGAATCACCGACCCGCGGACGTTCTCACCGGCAGTATACTTCTTATGAGGCTCCTGCGGCTGGATATGAAAGTCTGCGACATGGTTTTTTCGGCTGCGGAGGGTAATTGGGAGACTGAATCGGGAAGACAGGGAAGAGAAGCGGGGGATGGAGGAGAATCGCTTGCTGGAAATTGGCTTTTCGGTTGACGGCGCAGCTTGAGGATCGGCGCGCGGCGAGGATGAGGACGAGTTGGGGGTCGAGGGACTCGAATTGCCGGTACTCGAGGCGTGGTTGTTGTTGGCGCCTGAAGGCTGGGCTGTGGAAGGTCGAGGAGTGTTGGGAACAGCAAAAGAAAGCGTCGATGGTACCGAGCGGCCGTTCATCCCCGACGGTGTTGCGGAGGGCATCGGTGAGGTGGCAAGAGAAATCGATCGCTGCCGCTGCTGCCGGTGGTGCTGGCCACCAGCGATGGCCGAAGGTGTTGGTGTCGCGATGGTGGTTGGGTGGGCTGATGAGGCGGAAGTTGCGGTAGCCGAGGTGTCGGCGTGGTCGGCGATGGGAGGAGGGGTCGCGCTCGAGGGCGGCGAGGCACGGCGCTGCTGTTGCGATGGTGCTGTTCGCCTGCTCTCGACGGATGCGTGCGCCTGGGGAGTAGACGAGGACGAGGGCAACGCGGGTGACGGGGCCATCCAAGCAAGCAAGAGTGCTGCCCAGCTTGATCCTCCCCAGATTCACTAGCAGTACTACCCGCTGTTGACTGGACCCGCGAGCCAAACGCCAGAAACGGGGATTGTAAAAAAAAACACACAGTCAGAGTCCTTTTATGATCGCGGCGGCACTGTGTTTATCTGCTGGATTTAATCGTCTGCTTGCCTGCTTTCTTGCGTGCAGGTGGGCGTCTGTTTAAGTGAAGTAGAAAGATAGATGTTAATGGTCGTTCTGTGGCTACCACCGGGTTTGGCTGCCGTAGATGGGCTGCAGGGCGGTCGTAGTGGCACCGAACTATTTGACGGGGAGAGACAACAGTGGGGTGCCCTGCTGGTGGTGGTGGTGGTGGCGGCCGCGACAGGCTAGCAGCCACTGTAGCGCGAATGGGCCCCTGGATCCCTGTGGAGGAGGGGAAGTAAATTCAAGTTGCTGCTGCCGCTGATTTGTCGCCCGACGCTCCCCTCCTTCGTTCAAGTTCTTTTCCTTCTTCTGGTGCACCCTCGTCTGCCTTGCCTTCTCCCCACCTTCTCGCCGTCTGTGCTGCCGCTTCCAGCAATAGCGTGGTTGGTAATGGGTATGGGTAGTCCCTCAGTGGTGTTGCCAGCTGCCTGAACAGTCTTCGGGCGGACCGGTGGCCTGTCTTGTCCTACTCCAGCCGCGAGCCTGGTGTTAGTCGGAGTTCTAGCTGCGCTCCTCCCCGGCCAAAGCGTGTCCGAGAGCCACACGCGCCAAGAAGCAAAGTCCGCGCCAAGCAAAGCTTGTCAACTCCTGTTACGGAAGGGATCCAGGGCCGTGCTCCGGAGCGAGAGTCCGGGTCTGCTTCGAAGATGTCGAGTATCTGGATGCTGGATGGGAGAGACAAAAAGAAGAGGAGACCAACAGCCCTCGAGGCCTAGAACAAAGCAACACCGCCAATTGATTCAACTGCGGCACCAGCTGAGCAGAAAGGGGTCCGAGCAAGGCCGAGCGAGCCTCAGAATACACCACGCCGTATCTGTTTATTGGCTGGCCCGTTATTATTTCAGCCCACCATCAACCCACCGTTATTTAGCAGAACCCGCTCCCCCATCTCGCTCAAAGGACGGTTCAAGGAGCCATGTATTCCCGGTGCCTGCTGAATACCTAATGTCGTATCATGGTAACCGCCCATCGCTTTTCCTGTGACTGGTCGATATTTGGCATGGCAATGTCCCACGTAGGGCTAGTCCCTTGCCTATAAATAAACTCCGAATCCCTGCAACTCATGCATGCTGCCCCCTCTGTATACGTCAGGGCAGAGTTCTGTCTGAGCCTTGGTTGGTAACAATCGGCTGTCGCGTATGCCACCGTAGGTACCAAGTCTTCATCTGCCTGTCGCTCTCGGTCTCGCGCCGCCTCGTGTTTACGGCCATGTACGGCCGCCTGTAAGAAGTAAATTTTCACCTAGTGCAACATCGGTGTAGTGCTTTAGATTTGGATCACCACGATCGGCCAACAGCGACAATGAATAGGCTGACGGATACGAGCACTGTCTTTGTTCTTCCAATCACTGCTCAATAACATCCACTTCAAGGGGCCACGCAATGCACCTGTCCCATTTGGGCACCCTGTGCGTCTGCTGAGCATTATTCTTCGAACAGGTCACTTCGCGAATCGTATCCAAGTCCAGAAAGAATTAGCGAGTTTTTCGTCTCTTGTCATTTACTCTATGTGTAAAATGCGGAATCGTGTCCGCTCTGCCATTTTGAAGGCATGCAAAAATCCAAAAATGTAATCCCCCAAACGCCAAGCTTTCATGATCCAAACACCAGAGATCTAGATGCTTCCCTTTGTGTATATGCAATTATGCCCGTGCCGTTCCCTTTTCCAAACAAAAAATACTAAAACAAAAGCTATGCCATTATGTTTTCTTTGTGTGTGTCATTAGTCAAGCGCTTCACCGCTGAGAATGCTTCGCAGAATACCCGCGCCAATACCATCGACCATAGATTCCATATCCTTCTCTGCAACCGCACTGGCGATCCGCTTATCATCCCCACTGGCCACTGTCGTGGTTTTCCTGCCGCGTTTGCTTGGCGTCTGTGGCGTAATAAAACTGCCGTTTTTACCGTCAACCGCGTTGACTAATCCCAAAGTCTCTAAACTGCCAACCACCTCTCGAAACTCGGATCCAGACAAGGGGTGCAAGACTGAGTCGCGAGTGCACAGGCGGCAATAAGTCTCAAACAGGGCTTTGATTGTGGGTGCCATTGTTTGTGACTTTGATGGTGTGGCCCCGTTTGCACTGGTGAATGAAGCTCGGGTGCGCCTCTCAAAAGCCACCAAGGAACAGAGAGCTGCCTTTTGTTGTAGATTAAGAGTCTTTAGCCTTTGTGTTGTTCCATTGCTGAAAGCTGCTGCTGTGACTTTGTTGAGGTGGCCGATCGATGCTCGCGGGGCCGTCTCTGCCGTCAATGACTTGAGAGACCTGGTCATAATCTGTGCGATACTCTTTGAGCCGTTGCCAGAGGCGCCATTGATCTTCTCACCGAGTGGCCTCTTCGTCGGAGTGAGCTGGAGGAGTTGTTCCCGCGCCTCGTCCTCGTGCTTTGACCTTGTTTCCTGCTCAATCAAGTCCAGAGCCCGGCGACAAATTTCAAACGCCTTTCGTAAGTCGCCAGTCTGGCTTGCCACCTTGCGAGAGCACAGCTCAATCGCGGCGGGGTGAACAAAGGGCACGTATCCTTCCTTGCCCTCGGGCATCAATGACTTGAGCCTTCCAGTGATGATCTGCTTGATCTGGACTGCGGTGTAGGGGAGGAAAGGGAGCAGATCGGGCTTCAAGTTCTTGGCCTTGAGTCTCGGCAAGAATCGATCTGTGAGATCAAGTGCGTTGGCAATTCCAATCAAAACCAGTCTTGATGATTTTTGAAGAGACCACTCAAACATGCGGTATAAACTTTCCAGACCCATGGTCAAGATATGGTCAATCTCGTCCAAAGTAACCAGGAAAACCTCAGAAGATGAATCTTGTGACTTAGGGCAGAAGATGGACTGAAGAGTTGATACAGCTTCGGATTCCGATGAGTCACTGGCATAGCCCAACTCCTCCAGCAGAGTCTTATACAAATCCCTCGACGACTTGATACTCATGCAGTTGACGTAAGAAGCACGCACGCCTTCCCGATCCGTGTATCCTTGCATGATCTCGGTGATCATGGCGCTCTTGCCCGTTCCTGGAGGACCACTCACGTAGAGGCAGCCGCTTGGTGACTCGGATGAAGGGGAGCAGCGATCGAGGAAGGTAGAGAGTTGTGCCCGCTCTGTTTCCCTTCCAATCAGCTTGCCCGGTTCCGTCCCGTGAGCGAAGAGCTGGCGAGCGTTATGGTAGACTGTCTGGATAGCCGAGGGAGACAAAGGGGTGGATGGTGTTAATCGCTTGAACAGTTTGCCGGCGGACATAACCACATGGCGTGGAGTATTAGGGGATGAGAACACATCGCGATGGCGAGGGGTTGAGGGCGTGACTGGGTTGAGTTTCAATGCTGACTTGCGGATCGTAGGGGGCACTTCGTCCTCATCCTCGGCAATGGAGGTCGGATCCTGGTTCTCGTCGTTGTAGAGGATGGGCTTCGTACTTCTCCTCGCTCGCTTACTGGGAGTCTGTGGTAATGGCAGGTCGGCTGGAGTAATGGTGAGTGACATTCCTTCTGTTGAGTTGTGGTTGATGGCACCTACCTATGTCAAGGGCGGACCTCGTCCTCTTTCCTAAGGTTGAGGGAGACATGAGGATAGCGGTTGCAGCTTCCTGAAGTTGAAAAGACAATAGTCTTTGGCAAATGCAATGCAAGTCAATGTGAGGCAAGAACAATGCGTGAATTATACAGTTGTGTTGAAATGCAGGAAGGTGGTTGTTGTGAGTTGGACAAGATGGAGAAAGTGCAATGGTTGTGCCCTGGCAAGCGCCTGGGTTTTTAGCCCGTTGGCGCGGTTGCGAGCGCAGACCCAGCGTCACGAACGCCCTGGTGAGAGGACGTGTTGGACGCGACCATAAAACGCGTTTGTCGCGACCTTTTTAAGTGGGACCACTTTAAATCACCCGTTATGTGGCCCATGCACTCTGGTAATTTCGAAAAGCTCCAGCCTCAGCCTTGGCCCCACTAAGCCCAGTCGCGTGGCTTGACCGTGGCTGGAGTCGCGTCGGAATGGAGAGCATGGCGCATGGGAGTTGGAGATGATCGCTACACTTTTCGATGGCTACTGGAATCGCAACCTCTGGGTATCGAGGCATTCTTTAAAATGTCGTACGAGGCCGTTGTTCTCCTAAAATGCATTTTACAGAAACAATGCCAATTCGCTGTTTTCCCCTTTGATTCATCTCCTTCAAGCCGCCACAAATAATTACCTATACAATTGCAACATTAGTAAGTCCGGGTTTGCCTAGGTAGTCGCTGCCAATTTAGAAGTCTCAAATGCATTACGTCATTGAGGCTCTCCAGAGTCTGGAGCTCGAAACCACAGCCATCAGTTCACCTGGCGGAACGATTATATTTCTTCCACGACCGAGTTGAATTCTCATCTAACATTGAATTCTTCAAGTAGAAAATCGATCACCTTTACAGCCATGACAACGTACATCCCTTCCATCACCATCCCTTCGCAGGTGTTTCTCAACCCCTCCGCATCGATCCTTGTTCCCGTTGTGCTGGGAACATCGATTGGGTATGCCACCGGGCGTAAGTGTATATTATCCTATATCTGAAGTAGTCTGTGCGATGTCCTTGGCTCTAACGCGAACCGAATCTTCCTGCAGGAGCTGGCACTCAAAAGACATACCTCCGATTGAAGCAGCCCCCTCTGCGCCCACCACCATGGTTGTTCGGCCCCGTCTGGACCGTCCTCTACGGGTACGATGGACAATCTATTATGTCTGCTCCCTTTGATCAACCACTAATCAATTAGATAGGTTGATGGGATATGCTGCCTATCGCGCAACCTTCAAGGGGTTGTCGCCCTTCTCATCCCCTGACACCATCCGCACCACCAAGCACACAATGACCCTGTACACTATCCAGCTTGGTCTCAATCTTGTCTGGATGCCCCTCTTCTTCGCCGCCAAGCGCCCTGGTCTCGCCAGTGTAGACATAGTCAGTCTACTGGGCGTCAATGCGTACTTGACATACCTCTGGCACCCCATCGATGCGGTCGCCGCATACTGCCAGATTCCTTACCTTGCGTGGTTGAGCTTTGCAACATATCTCTGCATTGGAGTGGGTTCTCTGAACGACTGGGACCTGGATGGCAAGGATCCAAAGAAGCCCGGCACGAAGGACAGAGCGGCCATGGAGATCTAGGTGCCCATGTCTCGCCGTATGCTAGGACGGGCTGATACCTCTTGGTTCTACAGGAGGTGGATGACACTCACAACTTTATTCGTGGGGCTGCTATGCATCCCGCGGCAGTGAAGACGGAAGGCATTGCCTTGCATGTATCATATACCGTTTCAAAATCGCTTTTCTTATTTAAGAATTTTCTCTATAACCGAAATCAACATGTTTTATAGTTGAATGATTCCTCTGTCCCTTTCCCACGAGTAAATATATATTAACGGAACAAAGGAAATGGAGAAGCCTGGCCCAATGCCGTATATCATGTATCAGGCCCAGTTTGAGTCTGGGCCGGGCTTTTCTTTCGTTTCTTTTATCGCTTTGACCTTTACTTTCATTAATGCATTGGTAAATGCCTCTTCAGACCGTCATAAACCATGAAGATGAATGCTGAGCTGGGTGCGGACCGAAGGCATGTAATCCCACAACCTCGGTACATCCCCTTCAGCCCATGCTGCTTCCACACAGCGACGCCCTCGCTCCAGAACGTGCGCTTGACATGAGACCCGCCAAGCGGCATCGTCTGCATGCGGGACTTGATCGTATCCGCCGGGAAGAAGAGGAAGTTGTACGCGATGCCGGCAGAAGCGCCCGCGATGGCCTGCTGCCAAAAGGGCAGCGGCGTCGCCGCCAGCGCCTCCCTCTCGGCCTGCGACGTCACGGACTTGAGCCTCTGCTCCCTGAACAGCGCCGAGGTGGTCTCCTTGGCGCCGAACCAGGCCGCGCTGCCGCCCGTCTCCCTGATGAGCGTGCCCATCTGCCCGTGCCAGAACCCCATGATCCCCCCGTGGCGGAAGATGCTCCGTATGACGGCCACGGGCCGCAGCGCCGCCTGCTGCCCGCCCGCCGGGGCCTGGATCTTGCACTTGACCAGCTCGATGGGCGTCAGCGCGAGGGACGCAAAGGCCCCCGCGAAGGCGCCCGTGAGGTAGAGCTGCGGGAGGGAGAGCCCGTCCCGGCGCGAGGCCCAGCCGGCCGAGAACATGGCTTCCCGACCCACGCTCTCGAACATGAAGAGGCAGCTGTTCTCGGCGGCGGCGCCCACCAGGGGCGCGGTGATGCCCCGGTAGAGGCCCGCGATGCCGTCGGCCTTGAGCGACTGCCGGAAGCAGTCGAGCGGGCCGGTGTATCGTAGCGGCAGGTGGTCGGGCTGGCTCTGGAGTCGTACTTTGACCGTGTCGAAAGGGTACTCGATGTACTTGCCGACGATGCCAGCAATCTGCGGGGGAACGACGCGACGCCTTCGTTAGCCATCGCAACATAGTTTGGGGAACCTAAAGCCCCGCCGATCTCGGGCCCAGCCACCGCTGGAGGGGAGGAGGGGAAACACTCATACTGAGCCATATGTCACGTCCTCAATGGCCTCCATGGCCGCGGCCTGGGGCTTGAGAGACATTTCGGCAGGGGCCTCGACAGGCTCGATCGCAAGCTGGCTGGTTTCCATGCTCTGTCGCTCGGGTCCTTTGTGGGAAAACGGTCAAAAACAACGGCCCAGGTCAAACAGGCTTTTGTTGGGATGAGGGATACCCCTCAGCCATGCAGCCAGAAAAAAGGTCCGAGAGAGATGAGATAAATAATGGGAAGAAGGGAAAAAAAGAAAAAGGAAAAAAGGAAAGCAGGAGAGGGGGAAACAAGTTGGAAGCACGAAATTAGGCTGGCGCCCGTCCTGTCACAGGCCCAGGATGGCTGGAGCGAGCCGCGGGGCAGAGTCTAGCGCATCCAGAAGTGGGAGTCGGGCGGTGACGGTGCCGGTTTTTTTTATAGATGGTGGAGAATTTTTTTCTCTTTGGGCGAGGAAATCACTGATTGATAAGGAAAACTTGCAGGACATCCTCAGCCGGACCCTCTTTAGCTGCATGGACATGCTGGTTATTGACGCGGCATGTCACCCTACGACCCTCGTCAAAAGGCCTCATCTCGCACGCAAGACTACTAAGGTACGCTCGGCTGGATGGAGGAAGGGGGCTGAAAAGAGCGAAAAGGAAGGAGGGACATCGCAGGATGCAAGGAATGCGGAAATTGTTCTAACCCTGGCGGTGAGACACACTCTGTATGATACATCGAATCTGTGTCTTCCGATCACATCTGCGAGTTGGCGTACGCGGAAACCATATATCGAGCGACCCGACAGCAATGCCGCCGGAGCGAGTGCCGTGTGCAGATGAGCCGGTAGTTAGTGAGATGGGGAGTTTCGGACAACTGCCGAGGCATATAGAGAGCTGACGCGACTTCGGATGTCCCTTGTAAGCTGGGAGCATGTCTGAGATGATGTGACGATGGTGCCAACGAGAGCATGTGCCTAGCCTGCTAGCCTTGATGTCTCATTCTGCAGTGAGTCATCTGCTTCTCTGGCTGGGCATGTAGGCATATTCATTGGGTGTTCAGCAGCTGGGCCCTCATGCGGAATTGCGTCTGAACGAGCTTCAGAAACCTGTTACGTACTGACACGGAACACGGGAGTAGACGTAGTGGGTAATAAAGGTGCGGGAGCATCAGCCAGATCCACTGCATAGACCCGTGCGACGGATGCATGTGTCAGGATTGGGATGTGAGCACTATTCTCCATTGGCTCTCTTCGGCATCACGCGTCTTGCTTTCTTTTTCTTCCCTTTGCTAGAGGCTTGTGGCTCTCACTGCAGATAGTCCACGGCCCAACTGCAATGGATGAGATCCCATCTTGCCCTTGCTCCCCAGAATCCATCGAATAACGGCTTGCAATCGGCATGATATTTACTACACCTGGATCCCTTCCCCCATTGCTGCTCTTATGCTACCGAGTATGGCATCTTACACAGACATGAAGGTCGGTCTTGGATATCACGGCGTTTAATGGATGAAATAGGGCCCTTCTGAATGATGATAATTAATTTCCTGTGGGATTAACATTCTGCTATGAACGAATTATCTCACCGGGGATCGCCCCAGAAGCTCTCTATGTCATCTTGGCAATCATTCCAACCGAAACACGTACATTGGGCCTTCATATATGGCATGGTATAAGTTAAAGTTAGTCCAAGAAACTGCAATACCCTCTCCACAGCTCCGGCTCCGGAAAACAGTTGGCCAGGCCCAAGCTCAAGCCAGGACTACCTGTGCAAGACTCCCAGGCTTACTGCTTCTTCTTGCTAGAAGCCTTGGTCTCGGCCTCCTTGGGTTGCTCAGGCTGGGCCTCCTCGGTGTGGTCCTTCTGCTCGGCATACCACTGGCCGGATTGGAGCACCAGGACACCGATGAGGACAAGGGCGAGGATGGTGTTGCTAGCAGAGAGGACCTTGAGGCTGTCCTCGCGACCGAGGATCATCTCACCAGCGAAGCGGCCCTCGCGAGTCGACTCCCACTCGGGGCTGTTCCAAATACCCTCACTGACGGCGCGGAAACCCTTGATGGTGTTGGAGATGTAGACAGCGACGGCGATGAGGTACAGGATGATGGAGGCTCCGTCGAAGAGGAAGTTGGCCTCGCTCGGGCGGTACATCTTGACGAAGAGACCGAGGAAGGCGATGCCAACGGTGATGTGCAGAATGCGGCTGATGATGGGCGGCGAGTCGAACAGGAACTTCAGATGTACCTCCAACTGGTCAAGGTACTCGGGTGGGATGTCCACCTTACTCCAGAGGAGGGGGAAGTCATAGGGGAACTGCGCGAAGAGGATGCCCAGGAAGAAACAGGTGGCTATAAGAGGGGTTAGCTGCCTGTGCGTGATACGCTGGACAGTGCCAATGGAACCGGGAACATACGGCCAATGATCATGGCAGTAGCAAATGATCCAGAGCCATGGTAGTTCTTGGACTTGGTGGTCTTGGACCAGTCAATCCAGGAGCTCATGATGGGCAGGTTGTGTCGCGAGGAAGAGGTGGAGAGGTCAAAAGTGGCGCGCGCGCTGGTAAGTCCGGGGCTGTCGTCGCAGTTGAACGATGGATGAGGGGTAGAAGGCGTATACCAATTGGGACAACTCCTGCTAGATTTTGAGGAGGCTCACGAAGAAGAACAGGCAAAGGTGGCGAGACACAGAGGAGGAGAACGGGGTTGAGATCTTTCCGCGGCGAACAGGCTGGAGGCAGCGACCGACGGACGAAGTCTAGAAGGTAATCCACTGATTCCATTGGCCTGCAGACTCTGCGCTACCCTTCTGTGGGGGAGCGATGGAGCCCCACCCCTCATTTTCCGCTCGCTGAGGAGAAGGACAGATGCGCATGGACTAGGGTTGTGCTTATCGCAGCTTTTGCTTCATCAGCCGATTCTTCCCTGCTGTGGCTGGCAATGAATTGAACAATACACACTCAATTGTCTACAGCGCCATGCCGGGAGGAAGAAACTCAGCGGCAGGTGTTTAATTGCCATGAGCGCAACTATTGTACCGTACGTAATGGATTGAGCGTTTCTGCTGCTTGCAGACATCAGTCTTCCAGCGGCTTTTAGCACCAAGTACCTAGCTTCTGCTGTGAAGATAACCAAGGCCGCTAAGTCCGTTTATGGCTTAGACCAGGTCTGGACCCTGAGAGACCTAGGCGAGAAGTGGAAGTTGACATGAGGTGCAAAGAAGAGAACCCATGCAACCAAGATGAGGCCAGCAACGACACACCCAGACTGCTCTGAGCTATAGACCTGAAAGAGGAACGATCGCGAGATGACTATGATCATAAATTTATTTTGGGGCGACTTCAAAGCTTCAATGGAAGCAACCCTCGCTTTCGAATCGCCCCTTGGACTGCTTTCTTAATCTGTGCAAGCGACCGCTGCCAAGCCTCTTTGCCTTTGGGTTGGCTTTCTGCCTTTTCCTGCTCGATCAGAACCTCCAGCCATTTGATCAGCTTCAGAACTTTCTTCAGGTCCCGTTCTTCCTGGACGACTCCGACCAGATACTTCTGAAATACCTCCACGTCACCATCGTGCGGGCCATCCATTTGTGTCTCTGCATGCCAGGCATCTAGCATGTCCTTGATCTGCTGCACGGATGAGACACCAGA